CATTTTCTACAGATGTAAAGAAAGATGTGTACCTGTTTTAAACTAAAATTAAAAAACATTTATTAAAAAAAAAATAATAAAAAAAATAAAACGTGGCGGTGACGTATGGAAGTGACGAAGGGCCAGTCTTTCAGCTCACAGCTCCAGAAGGTTGATGTTGCAATGCGACTCCGCTGGGGACCACCTGTCCTGGACCACGAGATGTCCCATGTGCGCTCCCCAGCCGGCGAGACTGGCGTTGGTGGTAATGACCAGCCGGTCAGGCTCCTGGAACAGGTGTCCCTTGAGGAGTGCAGGAGATGTCCACCACCAGAGGGACCTCTTTACGAACTGAGGCATGGGAATCCGCCTTGGCGAGTTGCTCATGTTGGCTCTTTGGTGAGGTAGGAGGAGCCACTGCAGGGCTCTGGAGTGGAGGAGAGCCCAGGGGACAATCGACAGGCAGGAGATCATCTTCCCCAACAGCTGGGAGAGGAGGATAATCGGAACCTGCCTTGCTTGCAGCACCGTGTGGGTCATGGACCTGAGGGCCTTTAACCTTTCTTGGGAGAGGAATACCCTGCAGGAGATGGTGTCTATCACTGCCCCCAGATGATTGATCTTGGTCGTGGGGGTAAGGTGGCTCTTTTCCAAATTCAGTGAGAACCCGTGGTGTCTGAGGGTCCTCATGGTAATCTGAAGGTCCCGCAAGGCCTGCCGCCTGGACGACGACTGGAAGATGATGTCGTCCAGGTAGCATTGGAGCCTTATGGGCCTGCGGCGGAGGTGGGTGAAGGTCCTGGGGGCCGAGGTGAAGGCCGAATGGGAGGGCCCTGTATTGGAAGTGGCGGCCCACATAAAAGAAGCGCAGGAACTTCCGGTGTCGGGGGTGAATTGGGATGTGTAGGTAAGCCTCCCGCAGATCTATGGAGGTGAGGAGGTCTCCCTGGCGGATCCCTGCCAGGATGGACTGGAGGGACTGTATCTTGAACCTCCGGTAGGCAATGTGCCTGTTGAGGTTCTTGAGGTCCAAGATGGCCCTCCACCCCACCCCCACCCTCGAGTTCTTCGAGACCAGGAAGAGGATGGAGTAAAAGCCACTCCCCTCCTGGTCTGGGGGCACCTGCTCGATGGCATTGATCTCCAGGAGGTGGAGAACCTCCTGGTTAATCTGCTCCTAATGGGACATGAGGGAGTAGGGCACCCGATAAAGTTCCTGGGAGGAGGAGATAGGAATTCCAGGGACAGACCCTCCCGGACTATCTGCAGAACCCAAGCATCGTGAGCCGTCTGGGCCCAATGGGAGACGAACAGTTGAAGTCGACCCCCAATGGGCGACGTGCTCGGGAAGTCACTTTGATTTCCGGAAGGGCCTGTTGGAGGCGCCTCCACGATTAAATTTGCGGAAACCAAATTGCTGCCTGCCTCTGTCTCGAAAGGAAGACCTGTCCTGAGCCCTCTCTCCCTGCTGCCCTGCCGGCCTATTAGGGGGGTAGAAGGAGGTGGAGGTAGATGGTTCTGAGGGCCAAAAGGACTGCCTCCTCGCATATGGGATAGACTTGCGGTCCTGCTTCTTAGAAGTTGAAGGGAGGACCGTCCTCTTGTCCTTCGACTCAATAAGGAAAGGGTCCAAGACCTCCCCGAATAATTTAGACCCCTTAAAGGGGGCTGAAGCCAATTTCCATTTGTGCTTCTGGTCCGCTTGCCAATGTCGGAGCCAGAGCAAATGGTGAGACGTGACATTCGCAGCTAGAGCCCTAGAGGCGAATTTGGTGGCGTTGAGAGCGGCGTCCGCCACATATTGCGAAGCCACAATAAGTTTGGTCACGTCCTGATGGAGCCGGGCGTCCCCTGCGGGAATCTTGTTCAAGATATCGTGCGACCAAATGACAGCTGCCCTACTAAAGAATGAGGTGGAGGATGAGGCCCTAATGGCCCAAGCCGCCGCCAGGTGAGTCTTATGACAGACCTTTTCGGCTTTCTTATCCTCCACCTTGAGGCCTTCAGACAGATCTGCAGGCAGGGAGGCACTAGAGGTAAGAGCTGTGATAGGTGGATCTATGGCCGGAAGGGCTAAGAGATTCTCCAGGACTGGCTCCATGGTATAAAGTTTCTTGTCCACTTCACTAGGAGAGGACAAGGTGGCTGATTGGACCCACTGACGCTGGATGAGGTCCAGGAATAGGCCTAGAACCGGGACCAACTCCTGCTGGGACATAGCAGCATCAAACATAGCTGCATTCGGGTTGATTGGGGCCGAATCAGCCGTGGATGGGGCGGGTTTGGGCTTTATGCCCACCATGTTGGTGGCCTTCACTTTACGTAGAACTGATTTAAACAAACTAGGTTTAAACAGGCCAGAGAAAGACGGGGCCTCCGGGGTAAGGTCTTCATCCTCGGAGAGACCCTGTTCCACCGGGTCCGGAGCCTCCAAGACCGAGGCCTCGCTAACTACGGAGGACTCCAAGGATGGGTGGTGAACCCTCTTGGCCAGAGGAGGCCCACCCAGATCCGAGGGAGAGGTGACTGGGTCAACGGGTTTGTCCCACGCCCGCATGGCAGCAGCGATGCCCCTTGCGATGGCGTGCTCCACCACCGCCTGCATGCGGGGAGAGAGCTCGGGATCTTGATCCAAGTCTGGGTCTAGGTCAGCGGGCTCCTCCCTCTGGGAAGGCGGATCCTCCAGCGACCCTCCCCAGGGCAGAACCTCCGGGGTCGGGTCCTGGTCGGGGAACCAAGAAGGGACCGGGGAAGGAGGTTCGGAGAAAGACAGGGGACAGGTTTTGAGAATCTACTTCCTCTGCCATTAGTGCTGTCAAGTCCCTTTTAGGTAGTGGCAGAACAAAGGAATCCCCTGGGGGAACTTCCTTAGCTGCCAGGCGACGGGCTTTCTCGAATTGTTTGTCAAGCGCCCGTTGGCATCTTGTGGCATCCTTGGCCTCAACAGCAGAGGGGGCCCTAACAGAAGGAATCTGAATGGGAACCCTGTCTCCGCTAGCTCCATAGCCCATGGAAGGGGGTGAAACCTGATCCAGGTCCTGGGG